GGGACCCCCCCCAAATTCCAGCCCCCCCCAGTGACCCCCCCAGCCCCGTTACCTCGTGCAGAGCTGCCAGGTACTTGTAGGCTTTTCTCACCACCTCGTCCCGCTTGGCGTCCTGGGGGGCACAGGGACACTTTGGGGGGCACAGGGACACTTTGGGGGGACAGGGACACTTTGGGGGGCACAGGGACACTTTGGGGGCACAGGCACACTTTGGGGGCACAGGGACACTTTGGGGGGCACAGGGATACTTTGGGGGCACAGGGACACTTTGGGGGCACAGGGACACTTTGGGGGGCACAGGGACACTTTGGGGGCACAGGGACACTTTGGGGGGCACAGGGACAGTTTTTGGGGACAGGGACATTTTGGGGGGGACAGGGATACTTTGGGGGGCACATGTGACACTTTGGGGGACACAGGTGACATTTTGGAGCAGCACAGGGACAGTTGTGGGGCACATGTGACATTTGGGGGGCACAGGTGACATTTTGGAGCAGCACAGGGACAGTTGTGGGGCACATGTGACATTTGGGGGGCTCCCAGCACCTCATCCCTTTGGGCACACCCCGTTCAGGGGATGCCACTGAACCCACCTCTCCCCCATCCCCCAAAATCCCAGCGTGCCCCCCCATTTTGGGGTGCCCCCCTATTTCGGGGTGCCCTCAGCCCCCCACCTTGAAGAGCAGCTCGTCGGTGACGCTGAAGGTCCTCTCCAGTTTCCCCACCAGGGCGTTGATTTCCTTCTGCAGCGCCCTCGTGTCCTCCAGGATCTGGGGGGGGGGCGGGGGTCAGACCCCCCAAAACCCCCTCCCCAATTTGGGGGTGCACACAGCCCCCCACAACCCCCCCCCCAGCTCCTCCTAAAACCTCAAACAGACCCAAACACCCCAAGATGGCCCCAAACCCCTTCAGGCTGCCTGAAGGACCCCAAAACTCTCCCATTGCCCCCCCCCACACACAAGAGTTGGGGTCCCCCAAAAATGTCAGGACCCCCCAAAAATGTCAGGACCCCCCGGAACGCCCCCACCTTGCCGATCTCCTCCTTCTGCTTGCGGATGTTGCCCACGATCTCCAGGATGCGCTGGGTGTAAACGGCGCGCGAGACCTCGGGGGGCAGCGCCTCCAGCTCGGCCACCTGCGGGGGGGCTCAGCAGGGACCCCAAAACCAGCCGGGCTCTGGGCACCCCAAACCCACTGTGAAGGGACCTGAGAGGCCCCAGAGACCCCAAAAACAACCAGAGACGGCCCTGGGGACCCCCAAATCCAGGGAAGGGGAGGGGAGGGGAGGGGAGGGGAGGGCCCCGGTACCTGGGCGGAGTCGCGCAGGGCGCGGAGCTGCCGGTACTCGGCCAGGAGGGGCCCGCGGTGCCGCTCCCACTGCCCGGCCAGGCTGACGATGCGGCGGCTGCTGGACTCCACCACCAGCTGTGGGCAGTGCCAGGACCCCCGAACCGCTGACACCCCCCGGACTGACCCCCCAACACTCCTGCCCCCCTGCCTGGGCACAGGGCACCCCAAAACCCCCCGTGCCCCCCGTGCCCACCTGGGTGAGGCTGAGCTGGGCCGCCCGCAGCTGCTCCCGGCACCCCTCGATCTCAGCCTCCAGCCGGGCCAGTGTCGCCTCCAGCGCCGCCTCCTCACTGGCCTGGCCAGAGCCCCCGGCCTGGGGACAGAGTGACCACCCAGAGTGACCACCCAGAGCTCCAGAGTGACCACCCAGAGTGACCAGAGTGACCACTGAGAACAACCAGAGTGACCACTGAGAGCTCCAAAGTGACCACTCAGAGCCATCAGGGGCCCAGAGTGACCACTCAGAGTGACCATCAGGGGCCCAGAGTGACCAACCCCCCCCCCTCACCTCCTCGGGGCCCTTTGGGGGCTGCAGGGTCTCGGCAGCCACCTGGATCTGCTGCAGCAGCACCTGGGGGTCCTGGGGATGAGACCCCAGAGGGGGTCAGAGCCTGGGGAGGGGCAAAACCAACCCCCAGCCCCCCAAATCCAACCCCCAGCCCTTCCCCACCCCCAGAACAGCCTCCAAAAACCCCCAAATAGCCCCCAAAACCCTCAGAACAGCCCCCAAAAATCCCCAAAACAGCCCCCCATGCAATTCCCAAACTAGCCCCCAAAAACCCCAGAACAGCTCCCAAAAACCCCACAAAAACCCCAAACCAGCCCCCAAAACCCCAAACCAGCCCCCTGTGCAATCCCCAATCCAGCCCCCCCATAGTGCAGAGGGGACCCCTCCCTCAAACTCCTGGGAGTGAGAGAAGGGGGACCCAGAGCCCCCCCCCCAAGGCCTGGGGACCCCCAGCCCTGCCCGGGGGGTCTCACCTGGGGGGGCAGGCGGGAGGCCAGGCCGGGGCCCCCCCACTCGGCCTCCCAGTCGTGGCGGGCGCTCAGCTGGGCCGTGTGGGTCTCCAGCAGGGCCGGGGGGCTCTGCGAGGGAAGGGGGGGCTGTGCTGGCACCGGAGGGGTGGCACCCCCAAAATACTCCTGCAGCTCTGCGGGGACAGCGGGGGGTGAGCAGAAACCCCCCTAAAACAAGGACACCCCAACCCCCCTGCCCAGTATTACCATGGGGACCCCCAAATCATCACCCCCCCCAAAATCCTGACACCCCCTTCATGTGGGGCACAGCACAAACCCTTAGGGTGACACCCCCAAATTGCACACGGAGCTCCCCAAATTTGGGGCAACAACGACCCCCACCCCCAACACCCCAAAACCCCCCCAGCTCTCACCTGGGGATCCCCCACTTTGGGGCAGGACCAGGGGACAGGTAGTGAAAGGGTGCAGGTGACTTGTGCCCTAGAAAAGATTAATTAGTGGGTTAATTAGTGGGTTAATTAGTGGGTTAATGACTCCCCCAGGTGAAGAGGGGGCCCCCCAGCTCACCTGCAGCCGCTGCAGCCGGGGCGTGCGGCACAGGGGGGGCACCCAGGGGGTCCCCAGCTGCTCCCGGATCCGGGCGCCGATGGCTCGGAGCAGCGCCCCCGATTTCCCTGGGGAGGGCAACGAGGGAAGGGGGTCAGACACCCCCAAAAGCCCCAAAAAGGGGCGCCCCGAAAGGCCAGGGCCGTACCGGGGGGCTCGGCGCCGCGCTCGCCCTCGTCCCGAGGCAGCTTCTCCACGAGGAAGAGGAGCAGGCGCCGCGTGTCGTGCTCGGAGCTGTACAGGAAGGTCTGGTAGCCCACGTCACCCCCAAAGCCCAGCTCCTGCGGGAAGCACAGACACCCCGGAATTCCTGGGGTTCCCCTTCTGACGGGGATTTGGTGCTGCTGAGGTTTGGGCGCCATAAATCCCACCCAGATCGCGCTGAGGCGGGGGGAACCTGCACTTTTGGGGTGTTTTGGGGTGTTTTGGGGTATCGCCGGCCGGGGGTATGTACAAATCACGACTGGGACTGCCAGGAACGCGCCTTGAGCTGTTTTATTTTCCAGCATCAGCCTCATTACGTGGTTGTGACAATGGGGAGATGGCAGCAGCTCACATCCCAGGCAGCAGACCAAAAACTTAATGTTACAAGTTACTTTTTAAGTTTTTTGCCCAATCACACAAAGCAAAAGCACATTGACAGTAGTTCCATCCAACCACTATAAGCACACGTAGCTTTGGTTAAAACAATGCTTGCTTATTTCAACTATCCCTTCATAAGCCTTAAAACACAATGCACAGAGCTCCATTATTAAGCTTAGAACTTCCTAATATCTCACTAGATAGACTTTTCTGCAGCTTAGGGAGTTATTCTAGCCAAGCGTCACTACACAGACCATTGCTCCGTTCGTACTTTTCTACTTTTTACATAATTTAGCGCTGTGTGCGGGAGCCCTCGGTCTCCCCAAATCCCCTCAGAATTTGGGGACCCCCCCGAGCCCCCTCAGCTGCCCCAAGGACCCCACCGGTGGCACGTCTCACTCTCCCACCCCTCACGGTTTTCCCCTCAGAATGCTCAGCTCCAGTGGCAGTTCTGCCGTCTCTGAGGCCTGCCGCTCGCAGCTTTCCCCCAGCGCTCCGGTTTCACGGATCCCCCGGGGTACCTGGCAGGCGGCGGCCAGCTCGGAGGCCAGGCGGAAGCGGGCGGAGATGCCGGGGGGCAGCAGGGGGCTCAGCGGGGCGCCCAGCGCGGGGCGCACGGCCCGCAGGCAGCGCACGGCCGCCTCCACCACCAGCTCGGGGCTCAGGTCCCGCACGCTCTGCACCTCGGGGGGCACCGCCCTGGGGGGAGAGCCGTGGGACCCCCGGAACCCGGACAGCCCCCGGGAACCCCGAGAGAGGCGGCTGAGGGGGAGATGGAGCCCGTGAGGGCGGCGGGGGAATGAAACCGTGAGGGGAGAAATGTGTGGATGTGGCACCTGGAGACACGTTTAGGGCGGCCTTGGCAGTGCAGAAGGAACATGGCACTCGATGGCTTCGAGGGTTTCTCCCGGCAAGAACAATTCTGTGATTCTGGGCAAGTGGCGCCTGCAGGCTCTGAGGGGGCAATGGCGCCTGTCTGGGGACGCCGTGTCACCCGTGGGATGTGAGGGGAGCGGTGGTGGCAGCGCGTCCCTCACACGCCTGTTCCTGTCCCCTCGCATGGGTGTGACCCCGACACCTCACACCTGTCCCCAGCCCCTCACACCTGTCCCTAGGCCCTCATGCCTGTCCCTGACCCCTCTCCTCTGTCCCCAGCCCCTCTCTCCTGTCCCCAGCCCCTCACACCTGTCCCCAGCCACTCTCACCTGTCCCCAGCCCCTCTCCTCTGTCCCCCGCCCCCCTCTCCTGTCCCC